CCACTGTGTGCATGCAGGCTTTATTCCTCAACACCTGCGTTGAACTGTGAATGGAAATTGTTCTCGGGACGCTCACTTGGCGCAGCTACCTGCTGAGGAAACCCTAATCTGATTAGCGGCAGTATATTTACAGCTCTAAGTCCTACATTATCGAGCCTCATCTTGTTTGGGTTCCACATGTCTTCTCAGTCATTGTGCTGATGGCACATTGTCCGTTTTTTCATGTGTCTTGTTTAAGGGTTCAAGCGGTGAGAAAGCTTCCTGCTCTCTCAGTAGCTGAGTTTTCACTAGAATTTTGTTGGGCTAGGAATCCTTTTTACAGGTGTAACAGAAGGTGAGACGTGATATGAATTTGTGTTCCATTCCATTTAGATTTTTTATTTTAGCAACAACTTTACATTAATATCGAAATGACTTTTTGCTTTTGTCCAGGTGAAAAAATGCTGGACTGAACTACCACACTGATTTGACCTTCAAACCCAGGTTTAAGAAACTTGGCTTCACCAAGTGTTCCAAGGGCCCAAGTCCACAGGGAGGGATTTACATGGGTCACTGGGACCAAATGCCACTTGGCCATTCAAGCTTTAATGTCCTCAAGACAATAAAAACTGTGGCAAAGAGAAGGCATCTTTCTTAAGTGGCACGTAAAACTATCATCAGCATAGCAATGAAAGGAAATCCTTTGTTTTCTCAAGATGGATCACAGAGGCAGCAAATATAAAGAGAAAAGCAGCGGCCCTAAAATTGAACCTTGTGGAACCCCAAAAGATAGTGGAGCACCGCAGATCTTGGAACTGCCAATGCCTACACACATTGCCCTGTCTGCCAGATAGTGTCTAAGCTAGACATTTAGAGGGAGATTCTCCCATCTGTTAACCAATTTTCCATAGCGCTTATCCTCATTAGAGTCAGGGTAAGCTGGAGCTGATGGGGGCGAGGCGAGGTACACCTTCAATTGCTTACTAGCCAGTTGCAAGGCAACGAGAAACAAACAACCATCCACAGTCACGTTTAGCCCTCTGAAAGCTTTTCCGTGAACCTGACAAACATGAAGAGGAAGTTTTAAAACCACAACTGCGACGCACACTTGCTCAGATTCCTCCATCCTATTAAAAGCAATATACAATCAAAAATAGATTTTCACGATTTAGCCGACGGCTGTGCTGCAGAAGGTCCGAACATTATTTTGCCTCAAATCTCTCATATCATGCTGAAGTCTTTGAGCGACTTTCTGCGAAACTCCATTGCGAACACGTTGCGCAGACGTGTTATGAAACCACCAAGATGCATTCTGTTGTCGTGTTGCTTCGGGCCAAGGCTGCCCACAGACGGACTCTCTCCTCCATCCTCATCCTCCTACATGTCATCTGCTTGCATCTCTTATTTCACCGCTCAGACACAAACAACTCACAAATGTTTTATAAGTGTTGTTGAGCAGAAAACGCTGTTTGATAAGTGGCTTTTTTAGTATACCCTCTGGTGGCATACTAGCACGACTACTGTCTATTCGTGTTTCGAAGTGACGACTCGGACGCTTCATTAGTTGTTATCCAGTGCGGATTTCCTCAAGGCCAGCTCCAGGTCAGCTGATTCCTCCCTTAAATCCTGTTTATTCCCACACTCAAACCTTTCCCATGCAGTTTTTCCCCCTTTCCATCACCCCACAAATGGTGCATCAGCATTTGACAAGGCCAAGCGCTTCTCTACAAAACAACTTGGCGGTATGCTCACATGTGCCAGGACGTGCACATGCAGGCTGGCAGATGGATGACAGTTTGTATTTTTATCCAGAAAGATGTGTAACTGCTCTGTCAGTAATTACATACATCCTCGATGTACCAATCAGATCATTCGGGATACTATTTGTACAGCTTATCTTCGTGTTGAAATATTGCGCTAACATGTAATACAGTAGAATGTGATTTTATGAGATGTGTCAGAAAGGTTGTCAAATGTACTCACCAATTTTCTTTCAGTTAATGATTACTCACGAAATAACCCTCATTGAGTAAAAGCAATAAAGAGCATGGATGGGTGGATTGGAGGAACAGGTCATTGAGCACACGTCAAACTGACCAAAAATAAAGTTGAGTCACTGCTTAAAATAAAATGGGGGGAAAAAAAAAAAAAAAAAAGACGCAGCACCTTTTTTTTTCCACCGTGGGCGGTGGAGGCAGCAACTTGCCATTTTGTTCCCTGAAGCTTTCGTAACATGCATTGTGGTCAGGAGTGCATACCGCCCCCCCCCCCCAACCCCGCCCTTTACTCTCCCATTGCAAGAAGAGCCAATGAATTTGTGAATGGAAAATCGGGGGCTGGCATGCAGTGCAGTGACACTCTTTCAATTGCTGCCAACACCTGGTGCACCCGTTAAGGAACCCTGGCTGTCCCTGAATGCTTCTGTGGAGGGGTTGGGGGGGGGGGCATGTCTAAAATGACAAGTCGCTCCTCGACGTGCTCACACCCTCGCTCCCAAGAAAAGCCTCTTGGTTGGTCTACGCCTTGGTCACTCTTTTATCCTCCCCTTGTATCGCTACTGCTGCAGTTTGTGTGTGTGATTGAGAGAGAGAGAGAGAGAGAGAGAGAGAGAGAGAGAGAGAGAGAGAGAGAGAGAGAGAGTGTGGGGCGAGGGTGGGGGTGTGGGGTAGTCAGGATTGAGCCGAGGAGCAGTTGGGACGAGAGCAAGCACGATGTCGGCGCAGAGGACGACCCACACGAAGCCTGGCACAATGGAGTGCCTTTTTATACAAATGCGCGAGTGCGTGGAATGTGGAGATCCTTAACAACTTCCGAGCTCGCCGACGGATTTTTTTTTTTTAATTAGCTCTTGGAATTCCTTCCCTGCGGTGCCTGCTGCCACAAAGCGGACATCTGAGTTATTTACGCGCTGTCCGCGGGACGTTTGTTGCGTAAAGCGCCGAGCACCATGAACTACAGCAACAACCAAGCGGTGAGCTTCTGTGGCTTTTCGTTTCTTATCCCTTGACAAAGAGTTAGGGTGAGCTGTTGCCTCCTGTGTGGAAAATATCAGTCACTTGTCATCGACGACGTCACATGTCGCGTGGGCCGCGTGGATTCCCCGTGCCGCGAGACCGGCGCGTTTGGGTCAACCTCCTTCTTGGTGGTGGCGCTGATTGGGCTCCAGTGATTAAGCGCACGGCCGATTTGTGACACTGCTGGCATGCTCAAGTGTGCATGCTCTTAACACCAGCTACTGAAGTCAAAGTGGCAAGTCACGTCAGTGTGACGAGAAGGAGGAACGTTGTTTTCTTTGCGCTTCAGATGTTTTTACAGATAAGTGTTTTTAAATAGGCACAAGTTCTGCTAAAATGTTGATGTCGTATGTCAAGCCAGTAGAACGCAAATGGCCACCAACTGCTTACAAGCATACTTTGAAGACTTTTGCTCATCTTATATGTGTCGGAGTTGAAGTAAACGAGATTTATCTGAGGGCGGCACGGTGGATTGACTGGTTAGCACGTCTGCCTCACAGTGCAAAGGTGCAGGGTTCGATTCTGGCTTTGGCCCTTCCTGTGTGAAGTTTGCATGTGCGTGGGTTTTCTCCGGGTACTCCGGTTTCCTCTTGCATTCCCAAAACATGCATGGCACGTTAATGGAACACTCTAAATTGTCCCTAAGTGTGAGTGTGAATGCAAACGGCTGTTCGTCTATGTGTGCCCTGCGATTGGCTGGCAACCGGTTCAGGGTGGCCCCCGCTCACTGCCCGAAGACAGCTGGGATAAGCTCCAGCACACCCGCGACCCTCGTGAGGATAAAGCAATGTCGAAGATATGGTATGTAGGCTAATTATAATCCGATATTGATTTTTTTGGCTGATATAGGACCAATATCTGATATCAATATTGGATTGGGTAACCCCTACTGACAGTATTTTCGTAATATTAAGACTGAAATCTATTCCCAAAGTACAGTCTTTGCTCGTAACGTTACAACTTCTAATAACATAATACAGCCATGCAATTTCAATTCATCGGCAATTATTTTCTAGTCCGTTTGGCGTGGCCTTAAGATTCAGTCATAATCATTTATGTTTCTTGTCGAGCTTTAAAGGCCACGTGCTTCGGCATCACCCAGAAATTGTGACAGTTTGACATGTGATCTTTCTTTTCCCGGAATGTTGCTGTGTGTGTGTTCATACCGCTGTTCCAACCACAACCCTGCTGGCTCATTAGCTGGGAAAAGGTCACCGATGTGCCACGTCGTCTCCCCTTTTGATGCTTTCTGTGCAATGACACAGCACAACACTTGAGGTCTGCACCACTTCATTGCATGAGGTCGTTACAGCAATTTAGCAGCGCGCTCTTTAATGCTTTCCCCGACGCCGCTTTTCATTGTCTCTGCAAATTCTGCAAGCGCGGCAGGAGCGAGGATGGAATCCTCTTCCGATCAATAACCACTCACTGCAGAGCAGCCGCGCTGTCTGCCAGCGGACCTGGCTTGTCATCCACTCCTCTTTGGATATCTATGGAGATAAATATGCTGCTGTGTTGTCGCTGCTCCTCTTTGTCCCTCCCCCTTGCTGCAGCCACGTGGATGTAAGTGTGTTTTTGTGTGTTGCGGAGGTCGTTTTCTTTCTTTGCTGAAAGAGAAGCATCACACATTTTTGGGCGATATCTTTTGACGAAACTGTAAAATCCGATCATGATTATTTCAGTGTTCGGCCATAGCGAAAGAGGAATGGATTGGATTTGGAAAACCAACATGAAGTGAGACTAAAAATGTCGACGTAAGGCAAGAGAGGGCGGCTTTTCATCGGGTATTTCATTCAGAAGGTCGTCCAATGTGTTTCACGTGCAGTTGTTCAAAATTATTGACAAACAAAAGAGGTACAGACATTTAAATGCAAAGTAAAGAAATAAAATGTAGCTTACTGAAAAAACGTACGGCGTAAAAACATTTTGGAGAACATGACTTGTAGTCTCTGCGACTTGCATACTGCATAGGGTTGTTTCCTACTTGTTAGCCATTAGCAGCATGCACCTTTAATTCAGGCCTAGCTAAGCGAAATGGAGTGTTGTGGGAGGTATAATAGCAGGAGGGGGAAGTTTGGTTTTTTTTTTTCCATTCTTTCCACACGGATTTGGGTTGTAAACATTGCAACACAGAACAAATTGGAAAAAGAAAGGAGTGAGGTTCCCCAGGCTCACGAAATCTGCACGTCAAGACATCAGAAACTTCTTGACTTTTCAGGAACGTTTGTTTACAGCCGCTAGAGGCGGGAGTGAATTTTTTTAAATTACAGGAATGTGAAAGGGGTTTAGCTGAGAGCCTCCCCGGGCTCCTCTGTCTTCCTCTTTGGGGTTTCTTTTTTAATGCACACAAGGCATTTAATAATGAATTGTGACGCGAATTGCTAGGAAAGAAAATCTTAGAATCAATATTTCATTTCAAAGAATCATTATTTCCACAACCCAAAGTGAACGGAGGATGAAGGCTTTTGCTTCATGAGCCTTGACGCAAATGTCTCCCATCGCCCATTCCCAGTCGAATGTAAAAAAGACAGCTCTAGAGTTTGGTGGACGGGTGATTACGAGGTGGTCACAGGGGTGAGCAGCCCGCGCGGTTATCTGTCTGCGTCTGGCAGCGGATCACAACCAACCTCAGTCTTACTCGATATCTCGTTTATCTGAGCAAGCAGATGCTCAACTGCCACTTAGCCACACAAGGCTGTTTGGCCAAATAGCTCCTGTTAGCTCAGTGCAATTACCTTTTATCTCACCGACACGTGCCGAGCCGCAAGAAGCATGCGTCGTCACTCCCGGCCAATTCCGGCATTTAATCTCATGTCGCTTTCATGATGGAATTCAAAGAGTATTGTATTGAATTGACTAATATTCTCGCTGCAGGTTGTTGCCACGTGGCTTATAGATAGGCTGTATGCTTTTACATGCACATATGCCATGGGAATATTGTCGATATAAATGACATTAACACGGTTGCAAGCACAAAATTGTGAGAGTCCACCGGTGCATTGATCCCTAAAAGAAATCATTTAAGGCCACACAGAATCACAAGTAATGCAGGTAATTTTGAGATCAAATAATGCAAACTGTTGCTTTAAGGCCAATTAGGCCACATCGCAGTGTTCAGACTGAATCTGGAGCATCAGTAATCAGAGCAGGTTCGAAGGGGCTCCTGAGCTGCAGAGGGTGGACAAAGGTCCAATCGTTGTCTCGGCTTACATTTGTTCTTCGTGTGTGTCAATAATTCATCCTTTGACTTTTCTGCTTTGAATTGATGCCAGTGGACGCACGGTCAGAGATTCTCGTCGCGTGCCAATATTGAAACTGTTCAGAATTTCGTCGCGACAAGAAGAATCACCAAAACGGTTGGCAAATATCTGGTGAAGATATTGTGAGCATTTGCGACCTTGAACGAACCCTGACGAAACTCTGACGTGAAGGTGCATTTTTCTACCTTCGCCAACAGTTGCAATTGTTCACCCCTCCGTCGGATCGGGGTTGAAGAAGAACAGTACTGTTAAATTAAGTTTTTTTGTTTTTTTTAACGACGTGTACTGCACAGTTGTTCGTGCCTTTTGGCAATGGAAGGCGTGCTGCTGCGTTACGGCGCGTCTTTGGCTCTGTTCACCCTCCTGTCAGACAAGAGCGTCTGCATAGCAGCCGTCACGTGGGGGGGGGGCCAGGCCAGCACATGTGCTTCTTCACACATGTGGCCATATATTCTAAATAAGGCAACGCGACCAACGGTTATGAATTATGGAGCGCAATAAAAGCAGCTCCGACAACCGGTGCCCGTGGCTAGAAAGAGAGACGCGGAGCGAGACGCACAATAAATGACTGCTTTTCCACCGCTTGTCCTGTCCAACAACTCACAACGGAGACTGTGGACCATGTTGTTTAAAATGTGCAGTGGGACTGTGGGGCGGGGGGGGCCCTACTTTATTGCTAGGTTTGCAATTCTCGCAAATTCTTTTCACGTTGGGCAGCCCTAATTTGATTTGCGCTCTGAAACACAGATTTCATTTTCAGCTTGTTCTGTGTCGCGTGGGGTCGACACCAAAGGTAGCTCGATTGGGAATGCTAGTTAGGGCATCTGAGGTTATTAGCTTCGATTTACTAATTAGTGATTCATTCAAAGAGGAGTGTGTGTGTGTGTGTGTGTGTGTGTGTGTGTGTGTGTGTGTGTGTGTGTGTGTGTGTGTGTGTGTGTGTGTGTGTGTGTGTGGGTTGAAATTGTTAATTGGCAGGGGAAGTTAAAGCGAGCTGATTTGCAAGCGTCGGCTCGTTAGAGCTCTTCAAATGTGCTTCAGTGCATTGCTTGGCAAACGTTGAGGCCGGACTTGTGAGAGGGAGATAACCGGCT